ACACCATCATCACCATCATTCCTGCACCATCATCCATACACCATCATCACCATCATTCCTGTACCACAATTCCTACACCATCATCACCATCATTCCTGCACCATCATCCATACACCATCATCACCATCATTCCTGCACCATCATCCATACACCATCATCACCATCATTCCTGCACCATCATCCAAACACTATCATCACCATCATTTCTGCACCATCATCCATACACCATTACCACCATCATTTCTGCACCATCATCCATACACCATCATCACCATCATCACCATCATTCCTGCACCATCATCCATACACCATCATCACCATCATTCCTGCACCATCATCCAAACACTATCATCACCATCATTTCTGCACCATCATCCATACACCATTACCACCATCATTTCTGCACCATCATCCATACACCATCATCACCATCATCACCATCATTCCTGCACCATCATCCACCACCATTCTACACTATCATCACCATCATCACCACCATTCCCCACACCATCATCACCATCATCATCACCACCATTCCTACAACCATCATCACCATCATCACCACCATTCCTACACCATCATCACCATCATCACCACCATTCCTACACCATCATCACCATCATCACCACCATTCCCACACCATCACCTTCCACCATTCCTACACCATCAACACCATTCCTACACCATCATCACCATCATTCCAACACCATCATCAGCATCATCAGCATCATTCACAGGTGTTTATTAAATAATTAAGACACACTTTTTCTCTCTGCAGTATAAGCGGATTGAGGAAGCAGTGATTATTCATAAGTACAGGTAAGACCGCACACTTGAGTACCACCATACATACACATTCCCCGCCTACAGCCCACAACCCCCGCCCACAGCCCTCCACAACCCCGCCCACAGCCCACAACCCCTGCCTGCAACCCGCAACCTCCCGCCCACAGCTCCACAACCTCCGCCCACAGCCCACAACCTCCTGCCCACAGCCCACACAACCCCGCCTCCTGCAACCCGCAACCTCTGCCCACAGCCCACAACCTGCCCAGCCCACAACCCCCACGCACAGCCCATAACCCCGCCCACAGCCAACAACCCCACCCACAGCCCATGCCCACAGCCCCTGCCCACAGCCCACAATCCCCTGCCTACACCCCACACCCCACCACACCCCCACACCCCTGACCCACAGCCCACACCCCTGACCAGCCACCCCCTGCCCACAGCCCACCGCCGACCACAGCCCACACACCCGACCACAGCCGACTACCATAATTTCACGACCAGCAGCCCACACCCCTACGACCGTAGCCCACACTCCCCTGCCCACAGCCCACAACCCCCGCCCACAGCGTACACCCCCCGACAACAGCTAACACCCCTGACCACAGCTTCACCTGACCACAGCCCACACACTGACCACAGCTGACGACCATACCCCATGACCATAGCCCACACCCCATGACCGTAGCCTACACTCCCCGCCCATGCCCACAACCCCCGCCCATGCCTACACCCTGACAACAGCTAACACCCCGACCACAGGCCACACCCCTGACCACAGCCCACACCCCTGACCACAGCCCACACCTCGACCACAGCCAACACCCCCGACCACAGCCCACACCCCTGACCACAGCCCACACACACTGACCACACAGCCCACACCCTCGACCACAGCCAACACCCCCTGACCACAGCTCACACCCCCTGACCACAGCTCCACACACACCCGGCCACAGCCGACGACCATACCCCACGACCATACCCCACGACCATAGCCCACACCCCTACGACCAGCCCACACTCCCCGGCCCAGCCCACAACCCCGCCCACAGCCTACACCCCTGACAACAGCCAACACCCCTGACCACAGGCCACACCCCGACAACAGCACCACACCCCTGACCACGGCCCACACCCCCTGACCACAGCCCACACCCCTGACAACAGCACCACACCCCCCTGGACCACAGCCCACACCCCCGACAACAGCACCACACCCCGACCACGGCCCACACTCCCGACCACAGCCCACACCCCGACAACAGCACCACACCCCCCAGCCACAACACACCCGACCACACCCCTACGACCATAGCCCACACCCCTGACCACAGCCAACACCCCTGACCACAGCACCACACATCCCGACGAACAGCCCACACCCTAGGACTACACACACACCCCCCCCTGATGAACAGCGCCCACATCCCCCGACCAGAGCCCACACGCCCCGACCAGAGCCTCCACACCTCCCCCTGACCAGAGCCCACACCCTCCTGACCACAGCCCACACCCCGACCACAGCACCACACCCCCACCCCGACGAACAGCTTCCACACCCTTTCACCCACAGCCCACAACCCCTGAACACGGGCTCCACACCCCCATCCTGACCACAGCCCATAACACCCTCCCGACCACAGCCCACACACCCTCCTTCTGACCACACCCCTCTCTGACCACTCTCTCCTGACCACAGCCCACACTCCTGACCACAGCCCACACCTGACCACATCCCACACCCCGACCACAGCCCACACCCAGACCACAGGCCACACCTCCGGGACTGCAGCCCACACCCCCTGTCCACAGCCTCCACACCCGACGACAGCTTACACCTGACCAGCTCACACCCCCCTGACCACAGCCCACACCTGCAACCACAGCTCACACTCCCCGACCCCAGCCTCCACGACCATAGCCTCCACGACCATAGCCCACACCCTTCGGACCATAGCCCACACCCACCGACCACAGCTCACACTCCCCTGACCACAGCCCACATCTCTGACCACAGCCGACACCCCTGACCACAGCCCACACCCCCTGACCACAGCTCACACCCCCTGACCACAGCTCACATCCTGACCACAGCCCACACCCGCAACCACAGCTCACACCCTCGACCCCAGCCCACGACCATAGCCCACGACCTCAGCCCCACCCTTTAGACCAGGCCCACACCTGCCGACCATACAGCTCACACCCCCTGACCACATACCCCCACGCAGCTGACCACACCCCTGACCACAGCTCACACCCTGACCACAGCCCACGACCATAGCACACACCCATGACCATACCCCACGACCATAGCCCACACCCCTGACCATAGCCTCCACACCTTCCCTGACCACAGCCCACACCACCCCTCCTGACCATAGCCCACCTCCCTGACCACAGCCCACCTCCCCTGACCACAGGGACCCCTCCCGACCACAGGCTCCTCCCGACCACAGGGCCCCCCCCCCGACCACAGCCCCCTCCCCCAACCAATAAGCCCCCCCCCCTCCCCCGGACCACAGCCCACCCTCCCCGACCACACAGCCCACCCCTCCCCTGACCACAGCCCACCCCCTCCCTGACAACAGGTCCCTCCCCCGACCCCACAGAGGTCCCCCTCCTCCCCGACCACAGGCCTCCCTCCTCCCTGACCACCACTCCCTCCCCTGACCAGAGGCCCTCCCCGACCACAGCCCACCTCCCTGGACCACAGGTCCCTCCCCCAACCACAGGCCCCCTCCCGACCACAGGCCTCCTGCACCACAGCCCTCCCCGACCACAGGCCCTCCCCTTGACCACAGGCCCCCTCCCCCCGACCACAGGCCCTCCCTCCCTGACCACAGCCCACCCTCCTGACCACAGCCCACCCCTCCCCGACCACAGGCCCCCTCTCCCCTGACCACAGCCCACCCCTCCCGACCACAGGCCCTCCGCCGACCACAGGCCTGCTCCCCTGACCACAGCCCCCTCCCCCAACCTCAGGCGCCCTCTTCAGACCACAGCCTCCAGCCCTCCCCCTGACCACAGGCCCCCTCCCCAACCACAACCCACCTCCTCCGACCACAGGCCCCCTCCTCCTCGACCACAGCCCCCTCCCCCCAACCCTCAACCTCCCCCAACATCAGGCCCCTCCCCGACCACAAGCCCCCGACCACAGGCCCTCCTCCCCGACCACAGCCCACCCCCTCCTGACCACAGCCCACCCTCCCCGACCACAGGCCCTCCCCAACCACACAGCCCACCCTCTGACCACAGGCCCTCCCCCCTGATCACAGGCCCCTCCCCCGACCACAGCCCCCTCCCCGACCAGAACCCACAACCCCTGCCCACAGCCCAAAACCCCCCTGCCTACAGCCCACAACCCCTGCCTTCTTACAACCCACAATCCCCGCCCACAACCCCCGACCACAGCCAACAAAAACCCCTGCCCACGGGCGCCCGCCCACAGCCCACAACCCCGACCATAGCCACAAATCCCGCCTACAGTCCACAACCCCATCCACTGCCCACACCTGCCCAGAGCCCACAGTCTCCCCGCCCAGCCCATGGATTAACAGCCCACAACCCAGCCCACGCCAGGCCTCCACAACCCAGACCATCCCTGCCCAAACCCACACCCCCTGCCCACAGCACTCACCCGCCCACTTCCCCACACCCCCCGCCTACAGCCCACAGCCCACAGCCCCTGCCCTCCACAGCCCACACCTCCCTGCCCACAGCCCGTCATGTCCCTGCCCACACCCCCCCGGCCCACAGCCCATCCCCGCCTTAGTTCACACTCCCTGCCCACAGCCCACACCCCCTGCCCACAGCTCACACACCCCTCCCACAGCCCACGCCCCTGCCACACAGCCCACACCCCCTGCCTATTGCCCACACCCCCGCCTATAGCCCCACACCGCCTGCCCACAGCCGAAACGCCCTGCCCACAGCCTAGGACGCCCTTGACCACAACCGACAACCTCCAACTACAACCCACACCTCCGACCACAGCCTCCACAACTTCCTCCTGACAACCCCCGTCCATCAACCCACGCTCACACAGTCTATAACCCCCAAGTGTACAGCTCACATCCCACACCCCCTGCCCACAATCCACACCCCCCGCCCACAACCACATCTCTGCCCACAATCAACACCTCCGCCCACACACACAGCCCACACCCCTGCCCACAGCCCACATCCCCGCCACACCTCGCCCACAGACCACACCCTGCCCACAGCCCACACCCCGGCCCACATCCCACACCCCGCCCACAGCCCACACCCTGCCCACAGCCCACACCTCTGTCCACAGCCCACACCCCCTCCCACAACCCCACACCCTGCCCACAGCCCACACCCCCTGCCCACAGACAACTCCTCACCCACAGCACACACCCCCTGCCCACACCCCTGCCCACAGCACACACCCCTCGCCCAGTCTACATCCCCGCCCGCAGCCAAAACCCTGCCCATAACCTGCAGCACTCCCTGCCCACAGCCCACGTCCTGCCCACATCCTTTCGCCCCTGCCCACACCCCCGCCCTTAGCTCACACTGCCCACAGCCCAAACCCCCGCCCACAGCTCACACCTGTCCACAGCCCACTGCCCCCAGCCCACACCCCCTGCCCACAGCCCACACCCCCCACCCACAGCCTCCACACCCCCACCCACAGCCCACACCGCCCACAGCCCACACCACAAAACCCACACCCCCGCCCACAGCCCACACCCCTGCCCACAGCCTACACCCCCGCCCACCACAGGAGGACGACGAATGTCACTATGTAGCTCCCAGCGGTGATATAAGCCTTAGAAACATAATTTGCCAGGCTCCAGATCATCACATGCTAAGTGCGGCTAAGTATTGCCTTGCGCAGGGTATAGCGTGTAGTTGAGGTGGGCACTCGTCCCTGGGGCTAATTCTATGAGAGAACTGGTTAACTGTTTACCCAGGGCCCTTACGCCATTGGCTACTTACTGCTTAACCGAGAGACACCAAGAGGCCCAATTGTGATGCCGGGAGAAATGTATAGCAACTATTTTACCCTTTTTCCATTACTACTGTTGCATCCATGTACAGTGTTGGTACATTGTGTATAGTGTTGGTACACTGTTGTATAGTGTTGGTATGCTGTTGTATAGTGTTGGTACACTGTTGTATAGTGTTGGTACACTGTTGTATAGTGTTGGTACACTGTTGTATAGAGTTGATACACTGTTGTATAGTGTTGGTACACTGTTGTATAGTGTTGGTACATTGTGTATAGGGTTGGTACACTGTTGTATAGTAATGGTACACTGTTGTATAGTGTTGGTACACTGTTGTATAGAGTTGGTACACTGTTGTATAGTGTTGGTACACTGTTGTATAGTGTTGGTACACTTGTATAGTGCAGGTACACTGTTTTATAGTGTTGGTACACTGGTGTATAGTGTTGGTACACTGGTGTATAGTGTTGGTACACTGTTGTATAGAGTTGGTACACTGTTGTATAGAGTTGGTACACTGTTGTTTTGAGTTGGTACACTGTTGTATAGAGTTGGTACACTCTCGTGTAGTGTTGGTGCACTGTATAGTGTTGGTACACTATTGAATAGTGTAGGGACACTGTTGTATAGTGTTGGTACACTGTTGTATAGTGTTGGTACACTGTTGTATAGTGTTGGTACACTGTTGTATAATGTTAGTACACTGTTGTATAGTGTTGGTACATTCTTCTATAGAGTTGGTACACTGTTGTATAGTGGTGATACCCTGTTGTATAGTGGTGGTACACTATTGTATAGTGTTGGTACACTGTTGTATAGTGGTGATACCCTGTTGTATAGTGGTGGTACACTATTGTATAGTGTTGGTACACTGTTGTATAGTGCTGGTACACTGTTGTATAGTGGTGGTACACTATTGTATAGTATTGGTACACTGTTGTACAGTGTTGGTATACTGTTGTATAGCGGTGGTACACTTGTATAGTGTTGGTACACTGTTGTATAGTGTTGGTGCACTATTGTAAGGTGTTGGTACACTGTTGTATTGTGTTGGTACACTGTTGTATGGTGTTGGTACACTGTTGTATAGTGTTGGTACACTGTTGTATAGTGTTGGTGCACTATTGTAAGGTGTTGGTACACAGTTGTATTGTGATGGTACTCTGTTGTATAGTGTTGGTACACTGTTGTATAGTGTTGGTACACAGTTGTATAGTGTTGGTACTGTTGTTTAGTGTTGGTACACTGTTGTATAGTGTTGGTACACTGTTGTATAGTGTGGGTACACAGTTGTATTGTGTTGGTACACTTTTGTATAGTGTTGGTACACTGTTTTGTAGAGTTGGTACATGGTTGTCTAGTGTTGGTACACTGTTTTTATAGTGTTGGTACACTTGTATAGTGTTCGTACACTGTTGTATGGTGTTGGTACACTGTTGTGTAGAGTTGGAACACTGTTGAATAGTGTTGTTACATGGTTGTCTCGTGTTGGTACACTGTTGTACAGAGTTGGTACACTGTTGTATGGTGTTGATACACTGTTGTATAGTGTTGGTACACTGTATAGTGTTGATATAATGTTTTATAGTGTTGGTACACTGTTGTAGTGTTGGTACACTGTTGTATAATGTTGGTACGCTGTTGTATAGTGTTGGTGGTACACTGTATAGTGTTGGTACAGTTTTGTATAGTGTTGGTACATTGTTGTCTAGTGTTGATACACTGTTTTTATAGTGTTGGTACACAGTTGTATAGTGTTGGTACACTGTTGTCTAGTGTTGGTACACTGTTGTATAGAGTTGGTACACTGTTGTATGGTGTTGATACACTGTTGTATAGTGTTGGTACACTGTATAGTGTTGATATAATGTTGTATAGTGTTGGTACACTGTTGTAGTGTTGGTACACTGTTGTATAATGTTGGTACGCTGTTGTATAGTGTTGGTGGTACACTGTATAGTGTTGGTACACTGTTGTATAGTGTTGGTACATTGTTGTCTAGTGTTGATACACTGTTTTTATAGTGTTGGTACACAGTTGTATAGTGTTGGTACACTGATGTCTAGTGTTGGTACACTATTGTATAGAGTTGGTACACTGTTGTATAGTGATGATACACTGTTGTATAGAGTTGGTACACTGTTGTATGGTGTTGGTACACTGTAGTATAGTGTTGGTTCACTGTTGTCTAGTGTTGGTATATTGTTGTCTAGTGTTGGTGGTACACTGTTGTATAGTGTTGGTACACTATTGTATAGTGTTGGTAGACTGTTGTATAGAGTTGGTACACAGTACACTGTTGGTACATTGTTGTATAGCTTTGGTACACTGTTGTATAGTGATGGTGCAGTGTTATATAGTGTTGTTACACTGTTGTATAGTGTTGGTGGTACACCGTATAGTGTTGGTACACCGTTTTTTAGTGTTGGTACACTGTTGTATAGTGTTGGTGGTGCACTGTATAGTGTTGGTACATTGTTGTATAGTGTTGGTACACTGTTTATATAGTGTTGGTACACTGTTGTATAGTGTTGGTACACTGTTGTATAGTGTTGGTACACAGTTGTATTGTGATGGTACTCTGTTGTATAGTGTTAGTACGCTGTTGTATAGTGTGGGTACACTTTTGTATAGTGTTGGTACACTGTTGTGTAGAGTTGGTACATGGTTGTCTAGTGTTGGTATACTGTTTTTATAGTGTTGGTACACTTGTATAGTGTTCGTACACTGTTGTATGGTGTTGGTACACTGTTGTGTAGAGTTGGTACACTGTTGTATAGTGTTGTTACATGGTTGTCTCGTGTTGGTACATTGTTGTACAGAGTTGGTACACTGTTGTATGGTGTTGATACACTGTTGTATAGTGTTGGTACACTGTATAGTGTTGATATAATGTTGTATAGTGTTGGTACACTGTTGTAGTGTTGGTACACTGTTGTATAATGTTGGTACGCTGTTGTATAGTGTTGGTGGTACACCGTATAGTGTTGGTACACTGTTGTATAGTGTTGGTACATGGTTGTCTAGTGTTGATACACTGTTTTTATAGTGTTGGTACACAGTTGTATCGTGTTGGTACACTGTTGTCTAGTGTTGGTACACTGTTGTATAGAGTTGGTACACTGTTGTATAGTGTTGGTACATGGTTGTCTAGTGTTGATACACTGTTTTTATAGTGTTGGTACACAGTTGTATCGTGTTGGTACACTGTTGTCTAGTGTTGGTACACTGTTGTATAGTGTTGGTACACTATTGTATAGTGTTGGTACACTGTTGTATAGTGTTGGTGGTACACTGTATAGTGTTGGTACTCTGGTGTATAGTGTTGGTACACTGTTTATATAGTGTTGCTACACTGTTTTATAGTGTTGGTCCACTGTTTCTATAGTGTTGTTGTACTCTGTTGTATAGTGTTGGTACACTGTTTATATAGTGTTAGTACACTGTTTTATAGTGTTGGTACACTGTTTATACAGTGTTGGTACACTGTTGTATAGTGTTGGTACACTGTACTATAGTGTTGGTACACTCTTGTATAGTGTTAGTACACTGTTGTATAGTGTTGGTACACTGTTGTATAGTGTTGGCACACTATTATATAGTTGGTACACTGTTGTATAGTGATGGTACACGGTTGTATAGTGCTGGTACACTGATGTATAGTGTTGGTACACTGTTATATGTGTTGGTACACTGTTGTATAGTGTTGGTACACTGTTGTATAGTGTTGGTACACTGTTGTATAGAGTTGGTACACTGTATAGTGTTGGTACACTGTTATATAGTGTTTGTACACTGTTGGATAGTGTTGGTACACTGTTGTATATTGTTCGTACACTGTTGTATAGTGTTGGTACACTTTTGTATAGTATTGGTACATTGTTGTACAGTGTTGGTACACTGTCGTATAGTGTTGGTACACTGTTGTATAGTGTTGGTACACTGTCGTATAGTGTTGGTACACTGTTGTATAGTGTTGGTACACTGTTGTATAGTGTTTGTACACTGTTGTATAGTGTTGGTACACTGTTGTATAGTGTTGGTACACTGTTGTATAGTGTTGGTACACTGTCGTATAGTGTTGGTACACTGTTGTATAGTGTTGGTACACTGTCGTATAGTGTTGGTACACTGTTGTATAGTGTTGGTACACTGTTGTATAGTGTTGGTACACTGTTGTATAGTGTTTGTACACTGTTGTATAGTGTTTGTACACTGTTGTATAGTGTTGGTACACTGTTTTATAGTGGTGGTACACTATTTTTTAGTGTTGGTACACTGTTGTATAGTGTTGGTACACTGTTGAATAGTGTTGGTACACTGTTATATAGTGTTGGTACAGTCATGTATAGTGTTGGTACACTGTTGTTTAGTGTTGGTGGTACACTGTATGGTGTTAGTACACTGTTGTATAGTGTTGGGACACTGTTGTATAGTGTTGGTACACTGTTGTATTGTGTTGGTACACTGTTGTATAGTGTTGGTACACTGTTGTATTGTGCTGGTACACTGTTGTAAAGTGTTGGTACACTGTTGGATAGTGTTGGTACACTGTTGTAGAGTGTTGGTACACTGCTGTATAATGTTGGTGGTACACTGTGTAGTGTTGGTACACTGTTGTAGAGTGTTGGTACACTGCTGTATAATGTTGGTGGTACACTGTGTAGTGTTGGTACACTTGTATAGAGTTGGTAAATTTTTGTATAGTGTTGGCACACTATTATATAGTTGGTACACTGTTGTATAGTGATGGTACACGGTTGTATAGTGCTGGTACACTGATGTATAGTGTTGGCACACTATTATATAGTTGGTACACTGTTGTATAGTGTTGGTACACTGTTGTATATTATTGGTACACTGTTGTATAGTGTTGGTACACAGTTGTATAGTGTTGGTACACTATTGTATATTGTTCGTATAGTGTTTTATAGTGTTGGTACACTTGTATAGTGTTGGTACACTGTTATATAGTGTTGGTACATGGTTGTCTAGTGTTGGTACACTGTTGCATGAAGTTGGTGCGCTGTTGTATTGTGTTAGAACACTCTTGTATAGTGTTGGTACACTGTTGTATGGTGTTGGTACACCGTTGTATAGTGTTGGTACACTGTTGTAAAATTTTGGTAAGCAATTGTAGTGTTGGTACACTGTTGTATTGTGTTGGTGGTACAATGTATAGTGTTAACACATTGTTGTATAGTGTTGGTACACAGTTGTATAGTGTTGGTACACTGTTGTATAGTGCTTGTGGTACACTGTTGTATTGTGTTGGTGCGCTGTTGTATAGTGCTGGTACACTGTTGTATAGTGGTGGTACACTGTTGTATAGTGTTGGTACACTGTTGTATAGTGTTGGTACACTGTTGTATAGTGTCGGTGCACTGTTTTATAGTGTTGGTACACAGTTGTATATTGTTAGTATACTGTTGTATAGTGTTGGTACACTGTTTTATAGTGTTGGTACACTGTTGTATAGTGTTGGTACACAGTTGTTTAGTGTTGGTACACTGTTGTATAGTGTTGGTACACTGTTTATAGTGTTGGTACACTGTTGTATAGTGTTGGTACACTGTTGTATGGTGTTGGTACATGGTTGTCTAGGGTTGTTACACTGTTGTATAGTGTTGGTGGTACTGGTGGTACACTGTATAGTGTTGGTACACTGTTGAATAGTGTTGGTGGTACACTGTGTAGTGTTGCTACACTTTTGCATAGGGTTGGTACATGGTTGTCTAGTGTTGGTACATTGTTGTATAGAGTTGGTATTCTGTTGTATAGTGTTGGTACACTGTTGTATGGTGGTGGTACACTGTTTTTATAGTGTTGGTACACATTTGTATAGTGTTGGTACACTGTTATATAGTGCTGGTACACTCTTGTATAGTGTTGGTACACTGTTGTATACTGTTGGGGGTACACTGTATGGTGGTGGTACACTGTTTTTTAGTGTTGGTACACATTTGTATAGTGTTGGTACACTGTTATATAGTGTTGGTACACTGTTGTATAGTGTTGGTACATTGTGTCTAGTGTTAGTGTACTGTTGTATAGAGTTGGTACACTGTTGTATAGTGTTGGTACACTGTTGTCGAGTGTTGGTATACTGTTGTATAAGGTTGGTGCACTGTTGTATAGTGTTGGTACACCGTTGTATAGCGTTGGTACACTGTTGTATAGTGATGGGACACTGTTGTATAGTGGTGATACACTGTTGTATAGTGTTGCTACAGTGTTGTATAGTGTTGATACACTGTTGTATAGTGTTGGTACACTTGTCTAGTGTTAGAACACTGCTATTTAGTGTTGGTACACTGTTGTATAGTGTTGGTACAATGTTGTATAGTGGTGATACACTGTTGTATAGTGTTGGTACACTGTTGTATAGTGGTGATACACTGTTGTATAGTGTTGCTACAGTGTTGTATAGTGTTGATACACTGTTGTATAGTGTTGGTACACTTGTCTAGTGTTAGAACACTGCTATTTAGTGTTGGTACACTGTTGTATAGTGTTGGTACACTGTTGTATAGAGTTGGTACACAGTTGTATAGTGTTGATACGCTGTTGTGTAGTGGTGATACACTGTTATATAGTGTTGGTACACTGTTGTATAGTGCTGATACACTGTTGTATAGTGTTGGTATGCTGTTGTATAGTGTTGGTACACTGTTGTATAGTGTTGGCACTGTCGCTTGTTAGTACACTGATGGTACAACTGTCTCTAAT